GGCGCGAATCTGCTGCTACCCCGGGAAGAAAGTTCCCCGGAGGGGAGCGGCACTTCTCGCTGCCCGTGAAGGACGGGGCACGGCAGTGCCCGAAAAGCTGCGGCCTCTTCGCGTTGTGGGCAGAGATCCCAGGCAGCCCGGAGGAGCTGAGCGGTCGTCAGGTTTGGTGACCTGCGTGGGGATAGGCGAGGGAGGAGGTCAGTATGAGAATTTCTGGCCTCGCAAGTGCTCAGAAGCCAAGCGGACGAAGCCCCCAGCAGCCTGCCGTCGCTGACCCTGCTTTGAGCAGCAGAGGTTGGGTGAGATGACCTCCCCGGGTCACTTCCCAGCCTCAAAAAATATGGATGCTGTGATTCTGCGAATAGGAGCAGGAGGGCCAACCAGCACGGCAGGCTGGAATGTCCTAAGCTCACATGCTTCCTGGATGCTGCATGTTGTAGACAGAAGGGTTTTGTACTCCTCACATAATTTGGTACTGCCTCTAAAAGTCTGTGTATCCAGAGAGAAGTCCAGTTAAGTCTTAGGGAGACAGGACTGATGTATGTCACTTTGAGCTCAGGATCTGTTGCAACAGCACTACTTTTTATTGGGTTGTTTGCTTGCTTTGTAATAAGTTAATAGCAGATAAAATGCGAACATTTGAGTATCAGAAAATGAAATGGTATACGTAAGCTATGAAAAAAACAGCAGAGATGATACATTTACCCAGTAGTTCTAGCAAAGCACTGTTAGAAATCATTACCTTTCTTTGTATTGTGTGCAACCAGAAATTCACATTTTAAGCCTTTATTTATTAAAGAGGGTAATGAATACAGACAAGAAAAGGCGTAAAATATGCTTGGGTTTTGTTGCTTTGCTGCAGCATTGCAGTGCTTATTTTATAGTTAAAGAGCACGTTGATGTCCAATGAAGTCTCTTGTTAGTATATTCAAATCTAAAGGAAAACAGAGGTGATGGTTAAATAACTATAGAGTTGGATTTTGAATAATCTTGTTTGCTTTTGATCTTGTTGTAGCACTGGACAAAAATGTGATAAACTTATGTTCTTTTCATGTCGATATCTTTCAGATTTTAGTAGCACGATTTTGACAGGAGAATTTAGGCTAAAAATTTTGGAAGCAGAAAAAAATATGGATTAGTCTAAAAAGAGGCGGTCCAGAATTGCCTGATTTATTTAGTTTGTACTAAAAATAGGTTCAAACACTTTTTCCTCTAAATGTTGCTGATGATTCTTTTTAAATTTTAATCATACTAATTTGTTTCTGTGATTGAATTTTCCGTTTTGTGCTTATGGGGAGGATGATTTACAAAAAATTCTAATAGATTTGCAACTAAATACCAATTTTAATGAGTTTAAAGCTTTCTGCATGAAAGGGGTAGGTCACACCTGTGAAATGCAGTTGTAGCAAGCACTTTTTTTTCCCAGCTACACGTAGTTAGAACTTGGTTTGTAGTTGCTTTAGGAGGGCACACTTTAGGAATTACCTGTTCTGGGAGCTTTGAACAACTTTGGAATTTTCAAATATTGAAATATTTTTTCTTAAGCATAGGTTAAAATCTTACTTTATAGACCATGAAAGTCAGTGATGATAGACCTTTACAAACTGTCTGTTATGCAATAACACGTTTTATGAAACTTTATGGGTATCGTGTATTTGCGTAATGGATAAAATAGTGTTTAGTACTAATGATTATAAGTGCATGTATTCTTAGATTGTGTATATTTGGAGAGGTAGAGTGTAGTTAACTTGTTGATATCAGGGAGCTAAGTATAAACCACAGTTTGAGTAAACACTTTATTGTAAAATTTAATCCTCCATTTTCTGGATAAACTGACTTGGCTGAAGCAAATATTTTTGGCATTTATTGTTCGGCAACTTGGGCTTAAATTCTAAAATGGTCAGTAATGTAAGGTGGCAGTTTACTGTGTGGCAGTGGGAGAAGTAGTGTCCTCACTGGAGGAGGAGAATGACTACTCTGAGTACAAGGTATGAGGAGCTGCTGACATGCTGCTACTTTGTACCAGGTAAAGTTTGATGCACTTGAAGAGGAAGTGGTTGTGACTAAAGGCCATATCTAAACTACTCAAAACCGTGTTTGTAAATACCAGCTACTTTAAACTAAAGTTGCCTGACCTCCTCACACCATTGTGAGGTTTGGGTTGGTTTTTTTTTTTTTTTTTTTAAATGGAGGAGCCTGCCAGGAGGACTCCTCAGTTGTAGTTGAGTGCGGAAGCTGTTGATGCACAGAGGATGTGCCCACTCTGCTTAGTTCAGGAACTTGTCACAAGTAGGTGATGAGTGCATGTGAACTCTGTAAGGCTAGGAAGTGGGAGCTATTGACCAAGGAAGTGAGGGGAGGCTGTTTTAGAAAACGAAGTAAATGTAGCAGTAACGTGGAAACAGTTTTTAAATGTTCTAGTACTGTGAGACTTTGTGTATATCGTTATTCCCTTCCTATCTCTCCATTACCTTTACTTGCCAAGTAGCTTTTCTCCTCTCTCTGCTTAGAAGCTGATGCTGTTTGCATTCATTGCCTGTTTATGCGCACGTCTGGTTCCTGTCAGATTACAGGCTTGCTTCAGTGGGACTGTTGGAGTGAAGGAAAAATGACTGAGGTCTTATCTTAGAAACACCTTGAGACTGTTGGACGGGAATTACTGTATTAAAAGACAGGGCAAGTTGGGGTCCATTATGTCAGGGCATGCATCTGGCATTTGTGATGCATATTAAGATTATGCAGAGTCTTGGCTTTCATTTTCAATAAAAAAGTATCTGGCATGTCAGGCTGTAGAGATAACCTTCCAAGTATGACCTGAGCTTAAGTGAGGACTACTTGAGACTGATGTTCCTGAAGTCGAAATGTCAACCATAACTGTTTAATTACAAACCATTTTTTCTGGGGCTTTGAATGGGAGTTAGGATTGGTACCGAAGCCCATGGGATTCGTAATTGAGTAATACAACTGTATTATTCTCCTGAGAAGAGAGGACGTGTACAAAAGAAGAACAGATTGGAAAACAGATTTCATAAGAAAAAGAAACGAAAGGCATAAAAGCAATATTTTCGGAAAGTAATGTCTCAGTACATTCTTGTACTGGTGGATATGACAGCGTTATTGAATAGTAAATTAATTGATATGAAATATGATTTTATTTCCTTGATGTCTCAATAATTAATCTTGGTCTTTAATGTGACACCCCAGATTGCAGGCCTGATAAATCGGCTGTTGTCTGACTACAAAAGAACTAGTTTGTACAGGGGAAGTAAATGAAAAACACACAGAACGTAGCTTCACTTTTATTTCTCTCTTCATTATTGTTTGGCTTTTGTGAATTTTGTGGGGGAATGTTTGAAAAACTCTGCATTCTTCTTGCTTAAAAGTTGTTTTAAAATAAACTCAGAGCAGAGGTTACTTTTTCTTTTTAAACAAACTTTGAAAAGAAAAAAGCACCTTTTTTTCACAACATCAGCATAGCTAATGAAAGGACTACTTAAAATCTGTGAAAGTATCAGTTTTACTTTGTGGAAGTCATTTGGAGTATAAGCAAAATATGAAACTGTCTTCCTCATCGGGGAAGGATGATGACCTAACTAAAAGTTATTGTCATTTTTAAATACAAGTTTTCTCCTTTTTATTCTACAACTGAAATAAATGCTACTTGCATCACATAAACTACTCCATTGTTAAAGGTGATCTATTTGATAACAAATGGTGGAAACTTAGAATCTTGAATCTTGAGCAGTGTGAATAACCTGTATCCTTTTGGAAATAATTATCTGACTATCTTTTGTCAGGTTTATGGCTACTAATGACTTGATGACAGAACTACAGAAAGATTCTATCAAGCTGGATGATGACAGTGAAAGAAAGGTGGTGAAGATGATTTTGAAATTACTGGAAGATAAAAATGGTGAGGTGCAAAACTTAGCTGTCAAATGGTAGGTATTCTTTTTCTGTTGCGTAAAGAATTGTTTAGTGACTGAACAACATAAAGCACTTTTGAAAAACTTAAAGGACCACTGCTATGCAAAATAATTGTGAAACTGATGTCCACAAAGGAGCCCTTTTACTTTTAGGCTACCTGCTTTAATTGTAGTTTCTTACAGAACTATCTTTTGTTGACATTGCAGATTAATATTTGGAGTTTCATAGGACAAATTGTGCCTGCAGTCCTTGCTGAAAAGTATATGAATGACATGCTTGTTCTTTGGTGATAATTCTTGAATGCTAAATAGATTTCAGAAGTTTATAATTCATTGGTAGTTGCCACATTGATATTTGACTGTGAGAAGGTAGATGATGTGTAGGGGAAAAATTGTAGTATTGGAGTAGTTTTCAAAAAGAAATAAAACAATAAAAAGGTAAATATATGGTCTTGGTTATCAAATATGGAACATAGCTCTTCACTAAAATACTGTATTAGTGGTTTTACATGCTTTACGGGAGCTGTAAACATTTCATAGGGTCAGGGTGCAGTTATGTACACTTTAGAGACTTGTGTTGCTTCAGTAACCTCTCTTCCTCTGTTTAATTTTACACGTGGTGTGGCTTTTCCAGAGCACCCTTTGAAGAGGTGCTACATTTATTATCACATGCTTTTTGTTCTTGGCCCTTCTGACTCTTTCTGTGCCCTTTAAGGAGAGCCTCTCTGTTAGGAAGCTTCTGATGTTCCTGAGAGTGTTTCTTGTTCATCGTCCCAGGGTTTTTTTCTAATATTCTGTCTATGCTACTTATATTCCATGAGATGTATATTGACATAAACTTGCTGCAGAGGAGCTTGGGACAGCTTTGAAGAGGAGTTTCACATTGTGACTACCTGAGTTATTTTGTTTCAGCTTGATATTCTTCATAGTTTTACCTATGAGACTAGCAAAGCAGAAAATTAAAGCCTGTGTGTATATCTGCTGATGTACTCAGAAGCAGTGTTTGCTTCAGCTTCTGAAATATTTTAAGTGATGGTAACCAAAAGCTTGCACAAACTAGTGTACTTAATCAGAAGAGTAGGTTGTTATGAAACTTGGCTTAAAATTCTCTTTGTGTGAAATAGCGTTTTTTGGAAAAGTTACGTTGCAGTATACATGCAGTACTCATCTTTAATGTACATCTTAACTTTATCCTGCAGCTTAGATTAATGCACATGGACACAGCTTATATATCACAATCTTTAATGACAACACTAGAATTTTGGTCCTAACGTACAAATGATGTTTTTTAAAATATTAAAGAAATACTGCAAAGGGAAGAGAATGAGAAAATAGATGGCTGCCTGCGTATGTGCTCATGCACATGTGTCCTGTTCTTTTCTTATTAACCATTCTTCTATTTTTCAAGTTTATTTTGACATATTGATAAAATTCTTGGGTTTAATTAAAACAACAGGATCTATTGAAAGTTAACAGTCTTTCTGAGAAATCCAAATAATGTTAAAGAACAGTGTTAAATTTACTGTAATGGGACAAGAAATATGATGGAAAAGTTTTCAGGTAAATTGTGGACATTCATCTAGAATGTGTATATTCTTGAATGTATCAAGTTGTTTTTTTTTTTTTTTTTGGCATCCCAATCACTTGCAAATATGCTTTGAGGACCAAAAAATACCCTAAAGGAGTCGTCTTAGGGTAGTGCATACTCACAGTATTGTTCCATGCTAATTTTAAGCCAGTCTAAGCTAATGCTGCTGCTCTGCTGTTCTCGCCCTCCTTGTCCCTTTTCTTGCACTGTTGCTTCTCTGGTTTTGTTGTAGACTGGTTTGGGGACTTAGTTTTCTTCTGGCCTAGTGCTCTGCTCCTGCAATCAGATGAGCATTGATAGAAACAGTAGTGGGGCTGAGGGTTGGAGAGGTTGAGCATTATTAAGCTGTAGTTAATAGTTAGTTGATTGTAGTTAATTAAGGTAGTTTAACCTGATGTAAATTCTTCCATCTACTGCAGCACTGGTGTAGGCCCGATTTGTTGAGAAGTGAAAATCAGTTGGCATATTTTTCTTGACTTTTTAAAAAAAAGTCATTTTGTGTTGTTGTTCTTTACTTGTGTATTGCTGTTATGGATCAACTGGCACTTTCAGCTGAGGAAAACATGAACTGTGTTTAGATTTCTTTATTGATTTAAATGCTCTAGTGAACTTCAGAGACTATGAGCAGGAACTTTCCTCAGACTGATACTTGATGATCCATTTAAGTATAAATTCCCTGTCTCATAGAAAAAGGATTTAAGACAACCCCATGTACCTTTGAATCTGAAGTTGAGACAGATTTTTTTCCTTGAGGAAGGGAGGGAAGATTTGCAGAGCTTCCTGTACAGGTAGATCAATGGAAACACTGTGAATGGCAAAGATATTAATCACTTCTTGAGCAGGTAAGAACGCCTTGCGGGAGGATCACTCTTTTAAGGTTTGATTCTTGAGGTCAATGAACAGAGCAGATTTAAAACAATTCAGAGTAGTCTTAAAGCAGTATTTAGTTTTAGACAAGTGTAGGAGCAACAAGTAAGCAGTGTTCCTGCCTTATCCGCTGCTTGCTTTCACATTAGGGTAGGAAGGACTCCGTTCGTTAAAATGCTGATGAACTTGTTTCTTATGATCTTCAAAGCACACTAGTGGTTTTGTTCTTGATCCTTTCAGTTATATTACACTGTTTTTGGACAGGATAAAACATGTTCTTTGGTTAGCAGAAGTCAGGTTGAGAGTTCATGGATATTTGTGTAGGTGTCTTGCAAGATAATTGTACAGTTTATTTCTGAAAAAAATGGAAGTTAATGAACTGCCTTAGTACTCTTGAAGTAAGAGTCAACCTGATCTTAGCTTTGACCCTACAGAAGGGAAAGGAGTGTATTCATAAAGCTTCTGTTATTGCAGGCAGTAGACGCAAACTAGGTCAGTAACTGCAGGTTGTTCACCTTGTTTTTCTTAAGAGCATGTAAAATTTTAAATGTATTCTTGTTGTCTGGATTCTTTCTGGAAGTGCTGTTTTTTGCTTACAGCATATTCGTAGTTGAAGGCTGTTCGTGTGGTCCAGCGTAGCATCCATCTTATGGCGGTGGTAGTTATACTGCCTGTAGCTCTATCCAAGAGTATGTGCATCTGCATTAGACAAGCAGTATGGTTTGTCTAAGCGTAGGTATTGTGTTGGATGAACTGTTTGTTCTTCATTGCTGGTAATGTTGGTAAAGTTATGCTGTCCCAAGTTGCACATTAATTGTTTTATATGTTTAGTGCTGCAGTTTAAGGATGAACTGCTTCTCATTTTGAGCAATTATCTATGGCTTGATACTCTGCTGTTTAAACCTATACTCACAAATTTTTATTGTTTCACACTATGAAGCATTTCCTGAAACCTGTAAAAACACAAATGTGCACATGTGCATACACACACATGTGTATATGAAAAAAAATAATGGGATTAACGTAAGTACTTTTAGTGATTCTTCCCCTGTGATCCTGTAGTTCATCTGCATTTATGAGTGTGACTTCTTTGGGCAGTAGTAGCTCTATGCAGGGAACTCTGCTTGGTGCTGTGAGTGTGAGTCATTTGTGTGAACAGGATGATGCGCATGTTGGCTGTTGTGTGGCTGATGCCGGTCAGCAGCTTTAAAGCATTTTGGATGCTGTGGTAATACACTGCTGCACATCACGCTATACTTATGATTTGAATCAAAATTTTTTTCCACTTGTGAATTTTAACTCTTCCTTCTAAGTAAATGTACTTATTTAATAGCCATGAAAATACGCCACTTTGAGACTATAATTGATTATGAGTTGGTGTCCCTCTTCCTAATACACTATGAACACCTTTATTTTCAAATGTACGCAACTTAAAGGAGACAGTGTGTTATAGCAGTTGTTTATTTCCATAGGCAGCTGAATGAGCTTTTGACTTTAGGAGAAATTGGACACAAATTATTGTCTAGTGAAAGGGAAAAGATCAAAGAACACTTAAAATAATATCCGAAACTGCCTTTAATGTGTAAAATGCATACTTAAGTTCAAAAGCTTTGTATTCAGAACTGATTTTACAAAATAAGGTTATAGTTTATTTTCTACTTCTGATAAGCTCAGTTTGTAATCTGAGACTAATAATACGGTCTGTGATATCTACTGATTTTAAAGGCTAGAAAAGCTTGAGGCTTTTTTAAAATTCAGTCTCTTAAAATTTACTTCATAATTGGTGTGTCAGCTTTATTGAACTGATAGTCTGAATGAATAGCACTGAAGATTCTAACGTGGGTAAAATCTGGTTTAACACTTTCTAAAAACTGTAATTTCAAGTGTTTGTATGAATGACTTAAATCACTTCAGTGATTTGGTCATCTTTGAAACATCAGCAAAAAAGTGTTTCCTGTACTTAATTGAGATGGATCTAATCGACCAGCGTTTGCTCTTATTTTAGTTACTCATAGGTTACACTTGAAGAATAGATATATGTAAATTAGGATTTAGTAATTGTTCAGTAGCTCAGGTTTGAAAAAAAAAATCTTTACCAACATTTCAGATGTTTTCACTTATGGAACAACTGGTTATTTTGGTGGAGAGCTGCTTCTAGTCTGTCATTGCCACCTGGAATCTAACCAACCAGATGGCAAGCTAGCTTGCTGTTGATTAAAAGCAAACTTTCAGGATTGCTACTCTGGAGGCTTGACATATTTTTGAAAGGATACTGTTACTTAGTTTTATATGAATATGCTTCCGTAGTTGTACATGTGCTTGTTTCTGCTCCCCAGTGCTTCTATTACAGTACTTCTGTTGGAGCACGCAGCATTACAGATGTGAAGTGGTTTCTACAGATTCTGCACTTGCACCTTTGTGTACTGTAGTCTGTTGATGGAAACACACAGGGAATTTATTTGGACTACTGTGGACAGACATCATGCCTTGGAATTGTGATGGTTTCTGTTGTAGGTGATTTGTGCTCATGTCATTTGCAAAACAATTTAGTATGGCTCAA